AACTCATAGTTTTGGAGGCTAAAAGTCCAAATTGCATGGCTATGGTTCTGGTAAGGGCCCCTTTCACTGCAGCACATCATGGTCAGAATGTGTTTAAAGAGGGCAACATCACATGGTGAGACTGGAAGCCAGGGAGTAGACAGAGGCCAGCCTCACTCTTTCAACAACAGCCCAGTCTTGCAGAACTAAGAGGGTCCATGTGAACTACTAAATCTCTTTCAAGGGCAGTGGCCCAAACGACCTGATCATCTTCCATTAGGTCCCGTCTCTCAAAGGCCCACCACCTCTTTATTGTCTCGAGCCATCCGTGGGCTGTGTGTGTGAGCTATGCACATTTGAGTGTATGAGTGGACTGGCCTGACATTACTGCCTGATTGGGCTGTGTGACATATGTGTGCTTTTTYTCTTGCTCTGCCTGTGATCCCACACAGCACTTGAGATGGGTGTGGCTTTCTAAGATGTCAGYCAATCTGCTGACCACAAGACATCACCCAGCAAGACTTCACCTGTCAAAACCCAATCCCTCGCCTTATTTGGGAGGAACTTTCTACCAAATGGCTTTTTCCCATAAAGAAGGGAGTTTCAGTTTGTGCTTGCTCTCTTGCCTCTTGCCTCCCTAGCTCCCCTTGCCCTCCAGCATGGGAGCAGAGGTCTCATGGCCATCCTGACCCTAAAAAAAGGTATTTCTGTGTTTGTATGGTTTTTTACTTGCCAGCCCAGCCAGCTGGTGACACTTTATGCAGCCGCAATGGGAACCAATGTGAACTCTTGGGGGACAAATCATATCCAAACAGACAGGGATACAGAGAGAAACAAGAAGCCACAGATGGAATTGGTATGTAAAATGAAAGTCAGGGAATGAAAGGAAAGAGATGAACGATAACACAGTCAGTACCTGAGGTAGGCAGAATAATGGTCCTCCAAAGGTGACTGCCCTCTAAGTCCTGAAAGCCTGGGAATATGCTGTCCAGGTCCAATTCCAAGAGCCCTGAAAACAGAGAACTGTCTCTTGCTGGAAGAGGAAGAGAAGGCATACTAGAGACAGGGTAGGAGGGGAAGGGAGAGGGATTTCAAGTATGAGATTGGATTGCCAGGTCTGAGATGTTGGTAAACCTGACAGAACTGGAGAAAGGCTTCTTCTCAGTTAGGTGACACCCAGCTACCAGTGAAGACACACGCAGGTCTCAGTCCCAGAAACCCAAGTGTGGAGAGTTATTCCATGGCCTATCAAACAGTAGTTTTCAGGCTGAGCTTGGTGGCACACAGCTGTAATCCCAGCAGTGCAGGAGGATCACGAGTTCAAGACCAGCCTCAACAACTTAGCGAAGCCCTAAGCAACTCAGTGAGATCTTGCCTCTAAATAAAAATATAAAAAAGGGCTGAGGATGTGGCTGAGTGGTTAAGCAGTCTTGGGTTTAACAATAACAACAACAAAGAAAAAAACAACAGTTTTCAGGCTGTGCTTAACACAGAGTTACTCCATTTTATAAAGCAGTAATGTGCCATGAGTTACTCCACTTTGAGTAACTCCACAGGTGCCAAGGTAGCATGACTCTACAACTTATTTATGCAAGTAAACAAACAATACTTGATAACTTGTGTCAATTTACCAAATTAAATCATGAGCACATGTAAAAAAAAAAAACAGACAATAGCTTGTCAACCTAATCAAACATAACCATCTCATTTAAGATCCATAAAATAGGGCTGGGGATGTGGCTCAAGCGGTAGCGCGCTCRCCTGGCATGCATGTGGCCCGGGTTCGATCCTCAGCACCACATACCAACAAAGATGTTGTGTCTGCCAAAAACTGAAAAATAAATGTTAAAATTTAAAAAAAAAAGATCCATAAAATAAAGTGTATCCCAAGAATAGACACAGTGGCACCCTGACCATGTCACCTGTTTACTTGTCTTGAATCTTGTACAAGAAAATTGCAACATGGATGAACCTCTAGCTCTCTGACCCTGGGTTTCAGCTCATGAGAGGTTTATGCTACTGGTGACAGTAATGCATGACTCCTCACTTCAAGCTAACACTTCAGGCTGACATTGTAGTAACTGTCATCCATTTGAATTCTTTCCTTTTCATCTCTATTGAATTGTTTGGTTAAAACCCTTGTATGTCATTCCTCATGAAATTCATTTGGAAAAAAAAAGAGACCCCCAAATAGCCAAAGCAATCCTTAACAAGAAGAGTGAAAGAGGGGGCGTCACAATACTAGGCCTTAAACTGTACTACAAAGCTCTAGAAACAAAAATGGCATGGTATTGGCACCAAAATAGACATGTAAGCCAGTGTTACAGAATAGAAGACAGAGTCAAACCCACATAAACACAATTATCTCATCTTGGACAAAGGTGCCAAAAACACACATTGGAGAACAAATAGCCTCTTCAACAAATGGTGCTGGGAAAACTGGAAAGCCATATGTAGCAAAATGAAACTAAACCCCTATCTTTTTAAATAAATTAAAAAAAAWTTTTTAATTCATATGTGATGCTGAGAATCGAACCCAGTGCCTCGCACATGCCAGGCAAGTGCTCTACCACTGAGCCACAACCCCAGCTCCTAAACTCCTATCTTTCACCATGCATAAAACTCAACTCAAAGTGGATCAAGCACCTAGGGATTAGACCAGAGACCTTATGCCTAATAGAAAAAAAAGTAGGCCCAAATCTTCATCATGTTGGATTAAGCCCCAACTTCCTTACCAAGACCTCTAAAGGACAAGAAATAAAATCAAGAATCAATAAATGGGATGGATTTAAACTAAGAAGCTTCTTCTCAGCAAAAGAAACAATGAGGTGAACCGAGAGCCTACATTTTGGGAGCAAATTTTTGCCACATGCACATCAGATTGATCACTAATCTCTAGGATATATATATAAGAACTCAAAAAACTTAACACCAAACAAACAAACAAACAAACAAACAACCCAATCAATAAATGGGCTAAGGAGCTAAACAGACACTTCACAGAAGAAGATATACAATTGATCAACTCAATATATGAAAAAAATGTTCAATATCTCTAGTAATTAGAGAAATGCAAATCAAAACTACTCTAAGATTGCATCTTACTCCAGTCAGAATGGCATTTATCAAGAATACAAACAACAATAAGTGTTGGCGAGGATGTGGGGAAAAAGGCACACTCATACAATGCTGGTGGGACTGCAAATTGGTGCTGCCAATCTTAGAAAACTTGGAATGGAATCACCATTTGACCCAGCTATCCCACTCTTTGGTCTATATCCAAAGGACTTAAAAACAGCATACTACAGTGATGAAGCCACATCAATGTTCATAACAGCACAATTCATAATAGCTAAACTGTGGAACCAACCTAGATGCCCTTCAATAGATGAATGGATAAAGAAACTGTGGGGCTGGGATTGTGGCTCAAGGGTATAGTGCTCGCCTAGCATGCTTGAGGTACTGGGTTCTATCCTCAGCACCACATAAAAACAAAGATATTGTGTCCACCTAGAACTAAAAAAATAAATATTAAAAAAATATAGTGTTCCACCTAAAACTAAAAAAATATTAAAAAAAGAAACTGTGGTATATATACACAATGGAGTATCATCCAGCAATAAAAGAGAATAAAATTATGGTATTTGCAGGTAAATGGATGGAGTTAGAGAATATCATGCTCAGTGACGTAAGCCAATCTCAAAAAAAAAAAAAGGCTGAATGTTTTATCTGATAAGTGGATGCTAATCCATAATGGGGATGGCATGGGATGAATGGAGGAACTTTGTTTGGGGCAAAGGGAAGTGGGGGGGTGGGGGCATGGGGATAGGAAAGATGGTGGAATGAGACAGTCATCATTAACCTAGGTACATGTATGATTGCACGAATGGTGTGACCCTACTTTGGGACAACCAGAGAAGTGAAAAATTCTGCTCTATTTATGTACAATGAATCGAAGAGCATTCTGCTATCATGTATAACTGATAATAAATTTTAAAAAAACCTTGTCTGACCACCTAAGATGACTCTTTCTATTCATATCTAGGGACAGTCTCTGTTCTGGGCACAGCATCCTGAAACCCTATGGTTGCCTTAATCCTTCCTTAGTCTTTCTGTAACCCACACCATTGTGTGAAGTATGATGTGTGACCTGAGTGTTACAGATATTAGAAATTAAGCTTGGAATTGAATAAAAGAATGCATAATTGCCTTGATCATGACACCAAGGGAACCATGAGTATTTTTTGTGAATTAAAGTTGATGTAGCCAGTTAATTTACTCTTTTTTAAAAAAAATTTTTAGTTTAGATGGATATAGTACCTTTATTTTTTGTGTGTACTGAAGATGGAACCCAGTGCTCCACCATGTGAGGCAAGAGCTCTATCACTGAGCTACAACCCCAGCCCCTGTTAACTTATTATTTCATAAATTCTGACGTTGTGGAAAGACAATATATGTTTGGTCTATATTAATGGCATAGCTCACTCATGACTTGAACTAAATTCTGCCAAAAACCTGAGTGGGAAGCAACTTTTTCTCGGAGCCCCATTACAAGGGCCCAGCCAGCTGATGCCTTGATTTTGAAACTCAAGACTGAGGGCTAGCTGAGCCATCCTGGATTTCCTACCTATTGATCTATGAACAGAACATTTGTGTGGCTTTGGGTCATTGAGTTGGTTGTCATTTGTTAGGGCATCCAGAGGAAATGAATTCAGGGACTAAGTGGACAGAGAGAACCGGAGTGAGAGTTAGGGGCTGGGAGGACAGAGCAGGCTGGAGGTAACAGGCCAGGGGACTGAGTGGATAAATGGGGCCACAGGGGATGGAGTTGCTCAACCAGGAGACAGAATATGAATGAGAAAACCAAGACTGGAGACTTAGGTGAGAGCTAGAATAGCTGGACATGGTGCTCAGGCTCAGACTGGGGGCAACTATTGTGGTCTGGTTGGCCAGGGCTTGGGGACAGATCCCCAAAGGAAATAGTGCTGCTTGATGTAAGAAGAATTTTATTTCCATTTGGTGTGGGTTTCCGGTCCCCACTCTTATAGTTGCTGGGGGGGCCTGAGGATGTACAGGAAGTGGGTTTTGCGGGCAGGCAGCTTAGAGTGGGAGGAGCCCTGGGTCCCATCTTCCAGGACTTCCTCATGGCTTCCTTCTCGGAGGCCGTCCCGGATGGCCTGCAGGCGATGCCGCTTCTCACTGAGCCAGTGACCCTCCTGGGCATCCTGGTGGGACCTCCTCCGTGGCAGCTTCATGATCCAGAAGGATACTCGGGGATGCGGTTCTGGGTGAAAGCTGTCCATGAATTTCTGGAGGGGAACCAGGGCTTCCTTCTCTTCCATCTTGGGTACCTGGGGAGGAAGAACAAGGAAACCAAATAGCACACCCAGGGCAATCAATCCCCATGGGATTGTCCACCCCCTATGCAGCTGGTAGGGTGATTTGGACTTTGAAAAGCTTCTTTGAGGTTTACTGCGCACTTGGGCTTGCAAACACTTGAGGATTAAAAATACTCAGGTTTATAGAACATTTTGGGACTGAAAATATATTTTTGAGGGGTTTCAAAAGGGATGTATAACAGAGTGCTTTCTAGTTTATAATGCCTTTTGGGATTACAAAGCACTTTCAGAGGTTTTGAAGGCAGTTTGAAATGGACAAAGCACTTTGGGATTAAAAGCTTTTGGGCTTACTAAACAAGCATGGCCATAAATGCAACGTGTCATCCTTGATTGAATCCTGGATCAAAAATGAAACCAGATTTCAAGGGCAGCTTTAAGTCAAGTGGCAAATGGGAATATGGGCTGATTTGTTTATTGGTCTTTGCTACTCAGTGTGTGGGCTGCTGTTGTGAGGCATGTAAACTAGTGAGTTCCACCCCATCTGGACCTGCCTAAGCAGTGCAGCRTCAGCATCTGTAACAAACGGAGGTCTGAGAAGCCCTGTAGGAGGTGTCTATTCTCACCAAATTCACACACATATACATATGTATATATCTTTTTATCTATCTAAACATTTTTTTGGCAGGGGATGCGGGGGGAGATACTGGGCATTTAACCCAGAGGCAATTTGCTACTGAGCTACCTCCCCAATCCTTTTTTAATCTTTTATTTTGAGACAGGGTCTCACTAAGTAGCTTGGGAGCCTCTTTAAGTTGCTAAGGCTGACCTTGAACTTATAAGCCTCCTGTCTCAGTCTCCCCAGCTGCTGGGATGATAGGCGCACACCACTGTGCCCAGCTTCCCAAATCATATTTTGAAATCCTACCCTTCAGTACCTCAGAATGTGACCTTATTTGTGAAAAGGGTCATTGCAGATTTAATTAGGATGAGGTCTTGGGATGATGACTCCTTGAAAAGAGGAAATCTGGTCATAGAAAGACACAATGGGAGGATGCCAGGCAAAGAGAAGACAGAGATTGGGGGGCAAGGCATATATAAGCCAAGGAACACCAAAGACTTCTAGTGAAACACCGAAGCCATGTTGAAGCATAGAACAGATTTCTTCACTCAGCCCTCAGGAGGAGCCATCTCTGTTGACACCTTGATCTTGAATACCCAACCTCCAGAACTTTGAGACAAGAAATTTCTGCGGTTTAAGCTACCTAGTTTGTAGTACACTTTGCTATGGCAGTCCTAGCAAAGAGATAACAGTTTGGGAGTTGGGCACAGTGGTACATGCCTGTAATCCCAGTGGCTCAGGAGGCTGAGGCAGGAGGATTGGGAGTTCAAAGCCAGCCTCAGCAATGGCGAGGTACTAAGCAACTCAGTGAGACCTGTCTCTAAAAAAAATACAAAATAGGGCTAGGGATGTGGCTCAGTGGTCGAGTGCCCTTGAGTTCAATCCCTAGCACCACAAAAAAAAGAAAAAAAAAGAGAGAGAGTGATAACAACATTAAATTTGAGGTGTGTACTTAGGTCTTGAGGGAGAATGTATTCTTCTTAGTAGATTCTGTTGATGTATTTAGAGGTGAAGTATCCAGATGTCAACAAAATGTTAACAAGTTATGAATCTACTCCAGATATTCTCAATCCAAATCAGGAAACATTTGTTGTCACAATTGGAGGGGCTGGGAGTGCTACTTTCTTCTAATGGGAGGCCAGGATGCTGTCAAACATCCTATAGTGCCAGGCTGGGGATATAGCTCAGTTGGTAGAGTGCTTGCCTTGCAAGCACAAGGTTCTGGGTTCAATTCCCAGCACCACATACACACACACACAMAAAAATCCTACAGTGTCCAGGTCAGCACCCGCCCCCAGTAAAGGACTATCCTGCCCCAAATGCTAATGGCTCTGAGGTTGAGAAACTTTGGCCTATGGAAAAGGTAATACAATGACTATACTATTTTAAAAAACAACAAGAACAAAATTTTTTTTTGTAGGTTTGTACTTTTTTCTTGTTATTGGTATATCTATCACCTCAAAACATTGATCATTTCTTTGTGTTTGGGGACATTTAAAAATCCCAGAACTGGGGTTGTGGCTCAGTGGTAGAGTACTTGCCTAGCAAGTGTGAGGCACTGGGTTCAATCCTCAGCCCCACATAAAAATCAATAAATAAAATAAAGATATTGAGTCCATCTACAACTAAAAAATATATTTWAAAAAATCCCTCTACTGGCTCTTTTGCAGAATATAATTGTTACAGTTTGAAAAATTTAAAACAACTATATAAGAATGTGGGAACCCCATGGATACACCAAGCMCTTTGAGATTCTTAAAACTTTTAGGTAAATATACTCTGATGACTGCAAAGCACTTTGGGATTAGAATAACACATAGAGGTTTATAAAGGTGAAGTACAACAAGTATTTGGAGTTCATAAAGCAACTGGATTAAAAAACACATCTTASAGTTTATAAGGTAGAGGTTGACAAAGAACTTTGAGATTTTAAAAAATATTCTGAGGATTTCAGAGCACTTACACATTTTGACGTTTACAAGGGTGAGCTTACCAAGCTCTTGCAATCAAAAGCACTTCTTGATTTACTTTTTTTTTTTTTTTTTTTTCAGTGCTAGGAATTGAACTCAGGGTCTTATGCATGGTAGGTAAGCACTCTACCACTGAACTACAACAGCAGTCTTCCCCCTTCCTTTTTTTCAGTACTGGGGATTAAAGCCAGGGCCCTTAACTATGGAGCTACACCCTCAGCCCTTTTTAATTTTTTTTTGTTTTGAGACAGGGTCTTACTAAGTTGCCTAGAGTGATCTTGAACTTGCTGTACTCCTGCCTTAGTCTGGGGTGTGCCACAATATCCTATTTGGCTTACTTTCAAAATACTTGGAGCTCACAAAACCCTCTGGAGTTTAGTAAATAGTTGGGGGTGTATTCTGAGGTAGTAAATCTCATTTTCTGAGTTGGCAGGTTACAAAGCTGAGGCCTAGAAAGAAGTAGTTCCACAAAGAGAGAGGAGGTGGATCAACTCCTCCTCCCTCCTCCTAAACTATAGAAAATGTTGGGGACTTGACACTTTAGGGACAGGGCATGTACTAACCTTCCAGTCACCYTCCAGGCTCCCCTCGGGTTCAATGGATGCCACTACCTTCTCGGAGATGAGCACCTCTCCTGTCTTATTGTCAGTTACCTGTGAGAGGATGAGTTAAGAGAGTGAAAGCAAACCCACTTTCCTCCTCTGCCCTCCCCGCCCAACAGGTACTACAGAGGGAGGGATGATGGGGAGATGCCAGGGACTTTCCTGCATACTCACCTTATCGATCTGGAGGTGACTAGAGAGGGTGTTATTCCCTAGGTGACGTTCCTGGTTCTCTTCTTGGTGGAAGTTCCTGGGAAGGCCCCGGAAGTCCATGGGTGCAGAGAAGAAGCTGTCCAGACCCCGTAGCAGGTCATCCTAATGCCAGAGGGGTAACCAGTAAGCTGTTGGACCTCACATCTCTCCAGTGCATTTGCAGCCCCACCAGGATGCCCTAGAGGTCTTTCCCAGTCCCTCCCATCACCTTTCCTCTAGGTGCTTTGATCCTTAGAACCCAATCTTTCATTTACCAGCTTCATTTGTCTGGTCTGTACTCTCTGTTCAATTGCTTTACCATTCCTGACCCTCACCTGTCAATTTGTCTCTGTCCCTGTCCCCTCTCCTCCTCTTCCTCTTCCTTTTTCTCCTTTCCTTTTTCTCTTTCCAGTCTCATCTTCCATTCTCCTTGACTGTTACTTTTCCTCTTGTTCTATTTTTTTGTTGCCCCGTCTTTTTGTCTTTTCCCCGTCTGATCCCATGCCCGGCCCTGATCTGTCTCTCACTGTCTTCCTGAAACCTTTCACTACTTCTTCCAAGCAACCCTTGCCATCACTTGCTTTCTGGAAAAGTCGACTGAAGCCTTGGAGTAGGCTCTGGAGGCCTAGAAAACCCGAGGATATCTCCTGGGAGTCAGTTTCGCGGATTGGGGCCGCAGAGGAGAGGGGCGCCAGGGCGGACCGGAGCAGCAGCAGAATCAGCGGATGCCACATTGCGGGATGGGACAGGAGGCTATGTAGCAAGGGAAGGAGTTAGAACCCTCATCCCAGCAGTGGCTACTCATCACCCGCCCAAGACACCTCTTTCCTGCCTCTTGCCCGGTCCCTGTCTAGGCAACTCCCCACACCATGCCGATTAGCCCCTATTCCCCTTTTCTTCTACCCCCATCCCTTCCATCCAGCCTAGTCACCCCGCCTTCCAGACCCAGCTCTTTGGGGTTCTGCTTCAAACACGGTTCTCATTCCTCACCTTTGCCCACGCCCCGCCCCTTCTTCTGGGCCCCGCCCTTATGCTAGACCACAGCCCGGCCGGCCACCGGACTCCAGGACCACTCCGGTCACCGGACCACTCCGGGCCACGGACTGTTAAAATCCAAACAGTTCTGGTCTCGAGCCAAGGCTCGAGCCGTAGCCACCCTCTATTGTCTGACCACGCCCCCACCTGCTGACGTCACCCAAGAGCTCAGGTCTTTACTTCAAGGACACGCCCCTGAGGGCAGAGCCACGCCCACATTCTTTGTTAACCACACCCCTTAGCCTGGAGCCGCGCGCTCATTCCCGGGCCTCGCCTCTTACCTCGGACCACGCCCCTATCGGTCCACCTCGGCCCTGCCTGTGTTCTCTGATTCCGGCCCGCCCATCCGAGACCTCCACCAATCGCAGATGGCCACGCCCCGTAACGTCAAGCCACGCCCCCGCACCTGGGCCCCGCCTCAGCGCCTCAGATCTGGCTCCCGCGCTGTTTCATTCTCAAGTTCCTTGTGCTCTGGAAACTCCAGAGTCTGAGTGGTTCTTCTAGTTCCCTCACTCTTCAGTTCTATATCTACTTCTGAGCCTTTCTACGTGTCCCTTCTCTTTTTCCCTCTCCGGTTCCACTTAAAAAGCCCCGTTTTCTTCAGAAACACAGTCCTATACTCCATCTTCCAAGGAACCCTAAACCCGAACTCCCTTCTCCCTCAGGACCCAAAGGTCTGGAGCCATCCTCCTCTAGTCTTGTGAGTTAGAACACTGAGCCCTTCATCTTTAAGGAGTCAGRGACCTTACCTCTCTTCCCTTAGCCTCCGAGGCTCTCTCGGGGTCCTGGGTCAGCTGCCATCGTCCACTAGTGCATGGGGATCGGGGAGTGTGTGCCTCTGTGGACCTCCAATAAATTCCGAGGGTCTTGCTCACGACTCTTAATTCTGGTAAGGTCACAAGGATGCTGTGTTGTCGTAAGAAATCGATTAAAATCCATCCCATGACACTAGTCTTCAAAAATAAAGTTGGGGATAACAATACGACTCTTTTGTGTTCACATCACTTCTACCTCTCCGACACAAACCCGGGGAGCCCGGGACTCGACCTCTCCGCGATCGCACCCACAAGTCCAGATCCCGGTGCCTCCGCCCTCAGACCCAGGAGTCTCGGCCCCAGCCCCCTTCTTCAGACACAGGCTTCTCGGCTCCCAACCAATCGCCCCCCTCACACCCAGGAGCACAAATTCCCAATCCCCCTCCTCTCCTAGGGCCCAGTCATGCGAATCCCGAGTTCCTCCCAGCTTCCAGAAAGACTCCGTCTCTCCCGGAGCAAAAATCCTTCCTCAAACTGTCACCGACAGTTCCCCTTCCCGCAGTCGGCCTCCCGGGCCCGCCCCCCCTCCGGTCCCTCCCACTTTTCCCAAACAAAGCTCCCGGCAACTTTCTCCCTGGCAGCGCCCCGCCCGCCCGCGGCTCCCCAGCCCCAGGCCGGGAGGTAGGAAGGCGCCGGCGGGAGTCGGGATCCTGCTTTGGGGTGTGTGAGTTGGGGTGGGAAGTTATGCGTGATGAGGTGAGGCGTGTGTTGGTGGGACCGTCTCGCCACTGCTCGCCGCCCTCTTTTTGCCTGGGGACCCGAGTTTGCGTTCGTGACCGAGCCCAAGTGTGGAGCTGGAACTTTCGAGGGAGTTAGGGTCTTGATGACGGGTCTGGTCTGGGAGTGTGCGCGCGGGAGTGGCTGAGAGCTGCGGACCCCGGCTCGGGCGTGCGGTGCGTGAGTGTGAGCGGTGTCCCTTTGCAGCGAGAAAGACCCCTTGCGTATTTCTGACCGAACTGGTGAGCTCGTGTGATTTATGGGCGTCTGATCTCCCTTACCAAAGAGGAAGGGTCCTGGGTGGTAGAGGAAAAAACTATCTGGAGTCCTGGATGCTCTTTCTTGTCTTTTCGGAGATTTGTGGACTGGAGCGGTAAATTAGGGGGTATCTTTCTTACCCTGCTCCTCCGTCCCTTTGTCTGGCCACATGGGGGAGGGTTGGGCTGGGATTTTGGCCTACAGGGGTCCTGAATGCTGCAGCGCCACTGGACTCGGCTTGGGGTCTTTGTCTGCCTCCGCCCCGGGTCCAGGGTCCAAGAAGGAGGGGGATGGGAACCTGGGACTCTGGGGTCCTGGGAAAGTCGTGAAAGACGTGGAGCCTCCAAGGAGGCGGGATCGGGCTGTATTGGAAAAAGTTTTCCCTGTTCCCGGCCTCCGGAAAGTCACTGGGAACTTGGATTGGATCTGAGCCCATGGCGCGGGGGGAGGGGAGGAGGCGGGGCCGAGGGCCGGAGGGGAGGCGCCCTCACTGGCCAGCCCCTCCCCGACGGGGGTTGTGGGAAGCTGGGGGAGGGGACGCCTGGGCCCTTTGTTCTGGCACTCCAGATGGCCAGGCGGCCTGTCCCCCAGGCTGTGGTTCTGTGGGTGCCCTTGGCTCCCAGCCTGTGGTTCTGTGGGCTTCCCCGTCCCCCAGCCTGTGGTTCTGTGGCTCTTTCCTGGCCTCCGTATCAGTTTCGGCCTAGTCTCTGTTCCTATCTCATTTGATCTCTCTGCCTCTCTCTCTGACCTCCTCCTCCTCTTCCTCTCTCTGGATGTCAGTCCGCTTCTCTCTGGATCTCGTGTCTCATTCACTCTGGTCTCTGCCCCCTCTTCTCTGGGTCTACGCACAGCCTGCCTTGGGCCGATGCCCCTCCCCCTTCTCTTCTAGCAGCTGCCGCTGGCATCCTAGCACCTGTTCTTGGATGGGACTAGAAGGTTTCACCACTCTCCATTTCGACAATAACACGGCTCCTCTCTTTAAAACCAGTAATCTGCACCCAGAGTTTCAACCTTCATGGCCCTTGGCATTACTCTGGGGTATTCCGAACTTCATCTTAATCTAAGTTCCTCTGGAAACTCAGGGGAGAACAGCTCTCCTAAGCTACCCCAGAAATCTATCCCCTTTCTCCTCTAGGATCCAGGAGTCYTGGCCTCAGCCCTCCTCCCTCAGACCCAGGGGTCCAGGCCCAGTCCCCRTCCCTCAGACCTAGGAGTCCTACCCCCAGCCCTTCTCCCTCAGACCCAGGGAGGGGTTCAGGACCCAGCTCTCCTCCCTCAGGCTCGGGGTCTGACTCCTAGCCCTCACAGCTGCAAGCCTCTTTGGGTGAGAGGAAGGCCGCTGAGCTCTGTGTTCCTCCAGGCCCAAATGGGGGAACCCCGGGCTGGGGCCCCCCTGGACGATGGCAGCGGCTGGACAGGCAGTGAGGAAGGCAGTGAAGAGGGCACCGGCGGCAGCGAGGGGGCTGGGGGAGACGGGGGCCCAGATGCAGAGGGTGTCTGGAGCCCAGACATTGAGCAGAGCTTCCAGGAAGCCCTGGCCATCTACCCGCCATGTGGCCGTCGGAAAATCATTCTGTCTGATGAAGGCAAGATGTATGGTGAGTTCGCAGTGTCTTTTGACCTGACCCCCACAGAGTAATAACAGTAGCCAACACTTATGGAGCTCTAAGCATTGTCCCTGTAAACATGCACTGTGCCCTCCCAGTGACTCTCAGTTAGAAACCAGCGTCACCATTTGCACAGGTGAGGAAGTGGGCCTGGGAAGGTCAAGATGTTTGCCTAAGGTCAGAGCTAGTATGTGGCAGGGATGGGATGTGCTCCCAGGCAGTCTGGCCCCATAGAAGTGAGGAGACCAGCCCCCCAGCTTGCTATAACCCTTTGGGGACTGTTGCTACTCTCTTCTTTTCCTGGTGTTCACTCTGTCAGGAAGTTCTCCTAATGGCCTAACTCTGTTTTAATTTGACTCTTCAGGTCGGAATGAACTGATTGCCCGCTACATCAAGCTGAGAACAGGGAAGACCCGGACTCGCAAACAGGTCTCAGAACCCATTTCTGGGCTTCTGTCTGGGGCCAGCTTGTYCCTTTAGGGCATTCTTTGTATGGGCTAATTCAGGCTCAAAAGGAGGCTCTGGTTCATGTGTTTTTGCTTGTGTCCTTGGCATGTCTGGAGGCCTGGTCTGTCTGCTTGGCAGCAGTTTCCTAGCAGACAGAGAGACTAGGAAAAAGTCAAAGAGGGRAGGATGAAGACAGGACAGGAGCCTGGATTTGCTGGGTCAGGAAAGATGAGTGGTGTTAGTGAGTTCCTGGGAAAAACAGCTTGTGRGCACCATGTGTTTGAACACTGCAGAAATGACCTGTCTGCCTGTCACCCTTCAAGTGCTGGCAGCTCTGTGGGGCACCTGAGGGAGGGAAGGGGGAATGGACAGAGATGGGTGGTTGTGAGCTCAGTCTGCTTCTCCGTCAATACCTGCAGGTCTCTAGTCATATCCAGGTTTTGGCTCGAAGGAAATCCAGGGAAATCCAGTCCAAACTGAAGGTAAATGCCCAGGCAGACACCCTGAGGGGCAGATGGAGACCCAGAGGGATGGGGAGGGAGACCCAGAAGACTGRGGGTACTGAGACCCTAGGTAGGGAGAGACCTGAGAAAGGGAGGAGCCTGAGCTTGGGATAGGGAAGAAGGCAGGGCTGTGGGGACTCCCCAGAGGCTAGTGCTGWTGTCCCTCTGCCCTGTGCTCTTGGCCCTTCCTGATGATCTCATTGCTTTTCCCCTCTTGTGCTCTGAGGGCCTCCTCTTTGACTCCTCTGGTTCATCCCCCCCATCTCCAGCCCCCATGGGGCCTGCTGTTCTTTCTGTGCTCAGAAAGCTTCATTTCCTGTTGGAGATGTTCATGTCCATTTTCTTTTTCTTTTTTTCTGTCTTCTGGATTTCCTATTTCTTCTTAGTCTGAGACCCTCATTTTCTGTCCCTTTGGGTATGAGGTCTTCTTTGCCTCTTCGTTTAGACTTGGAGATAGTCACTTCCTGTTCATTTTTTCTTTTTTGTACCAGGAAGCTTTCCCTTCCTTTCTCTCTGTGTCGAAAACCTTTGCTTCCGGCCTTTTCTATACCGTGTCTGTTCTCTCTCTGTTCTGCTTGGGATTAGGAAACACTTACCTTCTATTCCCTGGGGCTCTGTAATTCTCATTTCCTGTTGCCTGGGCATCTGGAAACCTCTATTTCTGGCTTTTTCTTGACTTAGAAACTGTCTTTTATTCTGGTCTTTTATTCTGGTCGCAGAAAGTCCTTTTCCTCTCTAGGGCTGGCCACCTCTGCTTGCTGATCCCTATCCATCCATCACCTCCCCCTTGCTCAGCTCAGGGTGCCAGGGCTGGGCAGGCTGGTAGGGTAGGGAGGTGGGGGAGTCCAGGCTTCCTTCCTAAGTGGTGTTTTCTTTCCTCCTGTGGAACCTTCCCTCACTTCTTTGCAGGCCTTGAATGTGGTAAGTGCCCCTGCCCATTTCCCACATCCACTTACCCCAGACAACTGCCCCATCCCTAAGGAGACCAGGAGGGGTAGAGGGCGCTGGGGCAAGGGCTTAACCCTCCTTTGACCCTTTGCCTTGACTCCCTGGGTCTGTATCTCCCATCCTTGCCCCGCCTCATTATTGTCCCCCCCTGGCAGTGTTGACTGGTGTCCCCCATTAATATGGACCTTCAACTTCCCCCCAGGACCAGGTTTCTAAGGACAAGGCTTTCCAGACGATGGCTACCATGTCCTCTGCCCAGCTCATCTCAGCACCTTCCCTACAGGCCAAACTGGGCCCTGCCGGTCCTCAGGTGGCCTAGGCTGGGAATTGTGGGGGTTGGGCTGGAGGGGTGGGCCTGCAGTTGCCAACAGAGGACCACCTGACCCCTCCCCCCCACCTTCTTTGTCTTCTTCTCTCTAGGCCACTGAACTTTTCCAGTTTTGGTCAGGGGGCTCTGGCCCACCCTGGAATGTTCCAGAGTGAGTACTTTGTGTTCTGGCTTGGCACCTGACCCCCACCCTCCACATTTATGACCCTACCTTACACCTTCCAACTCTCTTTTGAACACAAATTCTGGAGCCAAGCTATTTGGATGTGAATCCTTGTCCTGCTCCTTGTTGTTCATGGGCCCCTGGGTAGGTGATTTCAATGCTCAGAACCTCAGTTTCTTCATCTCTAAAATGGGGGGCAATCACAATACCTGTCTCACACCCTTGTTGGGATTTAACCCTGTTGGGATAAATGAGTTTAACCTGTGTATAATGTTTAGCGTAGAACCTGCATATAGGAAGTGCTCAGGACCRGGTCTGAGCTGGGCTAGTGGGGAGGGGATGGGGCAGCAGGAACCCAGAGGAGGAGGGATGCCATAGGCCCTGTCAGGCTGGGACAGAGGGAGGAGGCTGATGACTTGAGTTGGAGGGGCTGTCTGGAGATGTGCAGCCTGCGAGAGGAGTGGGTTTTGGCCTGGAGGATATT